AGGTTAGAAAAGGCCTAGGAATATTAAGCAACTAAGTCATCTTGAAAAGTTTGAAAAAATGTGGCATGTTGAATTATGTTACATATCCTTCTATCAGGATTTTGAGGAAACGTCTATACTATAATTGGAGACCAAAATTAGGATACAGCTTGGTAACTGTTTCATGACGGGTTTTTTACTCGAAGGTTTTGCTATTTTTGGTAATTTTTTTTGGGTTCTCTGATAGTTTTGAATTGTTGCTGCTTTAATTTGACAAAGGAAAGTGTTAACTGGACGATTTAATAAATTCAGTAATAGCTTTAACATTACAGGAAATTACGCTCTGCTCAAAGTAGTTCCGTTACTCTATCCATCTAATAGAGCACCGTTTCATGCCCATTTATCGCAGCTAATGAGGCTTCTGAAGAATCCTGATATTGAAGACAAGGAACAACTAGCAGTACTAAAATTTGCTAAATTAGTCGCGAGTTACGAGCCAAATGTAGGTGCAGAAAATTTTAAAAATTATTCTTGGCTGGGCTACTTTCGCGGGATTACATTTAAAAGTGTTTTTGAATTTAACACTAGTTTATTAGGTTTTATCTATTAATTTAAAATTCAGCTATATTAAACCTTTTCTTTTTTTGATTTTAACGATTGTCAACTGTTTAGCTAATTGTTAGCTATCTGGGCGAACTCGATTCCTTGTTGCATTTCTCTTCCACCCAATTAGCTGTTTTATACATATATCGAACGTTGATTGCAAAAAATAACACACGTTCGTTGGTACCACGTATTGAAGCACTTCAAACTGCTGCGTTGTAAGATATAGCTACTTCCTGGTCTCTAGTAACTCCTATATCAGTTTTCTAATTTCCAACGGCACTTCAGAATTTTTGATGTTTGTACTCCTACCTTTGAAAAAATTTTTTAGAGGAGCTGAGTGTGACAGAAGTCTTTCGATGATTGCTCAAGTGGTAGGTAGCATTGGCAAAAGCGAACAGTATAAAGCAAAGGATGTTGTTGAGATCTTGATAATGATATGTAAACGACTTTCTGAATCACTACCTGTAGCTCTAAAAGAAGTTGAAGGTTCTATTCAAGTTACAGCTTCTTTTTTCTTTTTATTTTTGAAGATCTGAAGCTTATAGAAGATACAATATTTTAATTTAAAATTCTTTCTTGGAAATACCAATAATTCAGCTTTTTAATTTGCTATATAAATCTTTATGTCTTGCCGAAGTAACTCCTGACGCTGTGCATCCTCATCTTCCTTTCATCGACTCCTTGCCAGAAGCACGTCCAGCTGTGGCTTCTACGTGTCTTCGTATTCATTCGATCATCAGGTCTTTAAAAGTTTTTTAAAGTTTTAATTGAAAAGTGGTTGCTGAAATCATACTTTTGGTTTTTGTGCTATGCTGCTGCAAGTAACTTGTAATCCAGTACAATTTCAGTAGTGATGGTCCTATTTGTAAAGATAAAATATACTCGTCCCCTAACGATGCTATTACTATAGTAACTACTGAAGGTATCGGCTATAGCGGTCACTCGCAAGACTCAGTTTTTTCAAAGACATGTTCAAAAAACGACAGCCTTATTCTAGCAAAGTAACTAAGCACTGAAGTTGCCAAAAAATATTTTTATAAGGTTTTCATTAAGTATGCCTGGTGGTTAAAGCTTTCTTTAATGTTATAAAATTGGTCATTTTCATATCGCTAGAGTTTTTCATAAATTCTTCACTCAATTTTTCAGTGATATTCGAACTACTGTTGATGTCGGTGATTCGACAAAAAATTCTGCTAGTGAGCTTGATAAAAACACAGAAAATTTGGCTTTTCTTTACAACATAACGAAGACACGTTCATCCTTGTCCACTAATTCGGTTCCTGGTGTTAATTCTCACGGGTACGTACTGATAGTGCCTCTGGAATTTTTTTCTTCTTTAAGTATTTGGAAACATTTTTTTGAAAATGCTTTTATTTTTCTAGCGATAATATGGCTGGTGCTGAATCCACGTCTCGTGGATCACCTGTTTCAAACGTTTCTTCGCATATTCATGTTTCAAGACGGTCAGATGGTCCTATTTATATCCCTTTACCGAAATCACCTCATCAACCGAATAAAAGCAGTAGCAACTATGCCCCTTCGACAAATTCTGTAAATTACTTTGCAGTTTTTTGAAACCATGAGTTAACTTTGATTTTATATTGGTAGGGTAAAAAATCGTGCCGCAGAATACTTTTTCTATAAATAAATCTTTCTAAGGGACACTCATTTTTTTATTAAAACAATTTGGAGAGAGAACTAAGGAGCAAAAATTAATTTTTTAGAATTGTAAGGGTACTCGTGTTATGGCACATAAAATTTCTCGACCACAACCTTGGGTTCCACCTTCAACGGCTGGCACTGTTTTTGAAACTACTTTTCCACCTACGTGCGACCCTCCTACCACAAAAGTTGCAACGGGAAGTAGGAGTAATGTAGAAGTCATTGAAGGTGAAGGGACGATGTTAATACCAAGTTGTTCTGGTGCTCTTTGTAGCAGCACAAGTGGACCTATTGAGGTCTCCTTTGTCTTTTTTTTCTACTTTTTTTATTTTTACTTGATAAACGAATTTTTGATTTATTTATTGCGCTTTCTCAACTATCCTTGAAAGTTCAGTTTGGACTGATTTTTTTTACAGCCAGAAAAAAAAGATCTTGTAAGCAGCTATGTTGAGAGAAGGCAAGACGAAATCAAGAATTATATTGCAGAGCATTTGAAATCTTATCCAATACCAGTGCAGTGCACAGTAGAGGGCAGCAAAGGTAAGCTTTTGTCATTGATGAAAAGCGCTGGTAGCATTATGGTTATCATGGACAGTTGGCCTGTTTTTTTAGGCTCAAAGTCTCGGATGCGTGTTCATTTTCGCTGTCAAATGAATGGCCCACATTGCGAATTCAATTCTGAAAATTTATTTGCGTTTAAGACCCGTGTTGCATCTATATGGTTACATCTCATGTTCCTTCAAGTAATGTTATTCAGTTTGCTTGTGACTTTATTCTTATCGTTACGGTAGACACTTGCTTTAATTCATTAGTCTGTTACCGCTGCTAAAGAAGTTTTTGAAAGTCATTCAAAACGTCGTTAATTACGTAATTTTCCTGACGCGTGGAATTTGAAGATGGAAGCTACGAGTCTTGAAACGACTGGAGAGGTTATTCCGCAAGCTTCAAAAGCTTTCCAAACTCTTTCTAAATGCTGGTCTTGCCTTTCGTCGACGCTTACCAGAGGCCGACACTTCACTACACTTGTCACTTCAAAATTCCCGCTTCTGAAAGTAATCCCTTCAAACAATATTCCCTCAAGATAAAAGATGTTTTGCAGAAAGTTTTCGAATATAATTAGCGGCAATCAAAGTGAGAAAACCACATATATACACAAATATACGTATATATATTTATTTATGTATATTCTTTTTTTACAATTTATGCATTTACGCATTTATATATATGTATTTAATTATGTAATAATAGTAATCTTACACTCCTACTTGTAGTTTAACGGCTTTAGGAACAGCAACAGATTTACAAGGAATTGCAAGACGCTCATTATTTTGACTCCTTTACTTACAACCCTCAGGAACAGAAGTGGTGCTGTTATAGCTGTAACCATCCTGAAAGAGTTAGGTAAGTTTAGTGTAGATCCAGCAATTTGCTATATATATTTTATTTTTAGGGAAATGTTTTTGAAAAGTGAGACACCGGCAGTCGTTTTTTGTTCATTGTTTGCTAGAACGAATTTTACGATAAAATTTGTATACGGGACCGTAGAGCTCAAGTCATTTTCCTTTTTCAGGTCGCTTTTAAGACCTAATTCTCCCAACATTCCAGTCCTCGAGGGTCAGCTGAAAGAAAAACGTGGGCGGTGGAAGTTTTTAAGGCGGTGGCATACTAAATATTTTACGTTATCCAGTGCAGCACTTACGTGTCGAGATCGAGAAATTAGTGTATGTGGATTATCTCCTGTTTGAGTAGCGGATTCTGTTTAGTACTTTTAAAATTTTTGCTTCTGCATTTCACTTTCGTAATTTGGGAAGGGGCACAAGTTATGCCAGAGCGTATCTTTAATCTTTTTTACTGTTTTTTGATTGTGTAAATATTGGTAGTAAATACTCTTCTGTTTTTTGTTTTCATTGTGGAAGTAGTAATCAGATTTTCTAGGCTAAAGATAAAGTGCTGTATCCCTCAATTGACCTACGAAAAGTTCGCTCTGTCAAATCACTGAGCAAAGGGCGGAAAAGCAGAAAGTCTTTGCCAAAAGCCTTTGAAATATTTACCGATGACCACATTTCGTACATCTTGAAGGTACTAGATCTAGTCTTATACAATCCTTTAATTTGTTAATTGTTATTCCTCTACAAAATTTTGCTTTCTTTTGTTGGCATTTCATTTGTGTTAAGGCTCGAGACCAAAATCAGGCCCAGGAGTGGTTTCAAAGTATTCAGATTGCTGTTGCACAAGCACATAAAGAAGGGCAGCCAACTTATGCGTTGTAAATGAAGCTTTACTGATGCAGCAATCTTTTGTTAGCAACAGTTCCTGGCTAAATTTATTTTGTCTATAGCAGATCTCATAAAGATATTTCTAAAGATATTCCATAGTTATGAATGTATGACACGTCGTTTGGTTCGCCACTGTTTCTTGCAAGTTCTTATCTTTCTGCCCCTCCATACTTTCCGACTTGTAAACGTCGGGGTTTTTTTGTTCAGTTGTAAATAATAGCTCATTTGTTATATATATATATATAAATATATATAATATTTGATACAAAATATGATGTGATACGATATGATATATACAATATGATATGATATGATATGATTGATATAATATGACATGATATGATATGATATGATATAATATAGTATAATATAATATAATATATAATGTAATATAATATAATACAATA